CTTCCCGTTTCCCACATGCCGTTTTTTGGCTCGGATGCTCCTTTGTCATTTCTTTTTTTATTATATTTTCATTATTATCATGCAACTTCCCTTTCCCGCTCTTCGCTTCATTATCGGTTGTCTTCTGGATCTTCCTCTCCCAGTGTCTGTCCTTTTCCTTACTCGCATGCCCATAACTCCCGACCGCTAATTCTCCCTCGTAATTCCTTCCCCCCCCCACCCCTTACAATTATTTTTTTCCCCTTCCTTGGTACAAATTTCCTCCACTTCCCTATTACTCGCCACTACTTCCCCCTTGAAATAATACGCCTCTATTTCTCCCTTAGAATTATTCCCCTTAGAATTATACGCCCCTATTTCCCCCTTGTAATTATTCCCTATTTTCCCCTTAGGATTATGCGCCCTTATTTCCCCCTTAAACTTATTCACTCCAATCCCTCTTATAAAATTATTCCTTTCCATTTCCCTTCCCCACTCTCCGCTTACTCCACTATGATTATCTCTCCTGGTTCCCTCATTCCTAAACCTTACTCCCAGACCTCCATCCCTAATTTCTCCCCTCATTTCCTCAACTCCCTCCCGCTCCCAATTGAACATGTTCTCAATCTCGGGCATTACTTCCACGTCCTCATATGTCCTCCTCCCATCTGTATCATCACTCACCATCGGAACGAATACTCCCCACCATGCAAATACCCCCCAAAAACTATACCATGGACCAATCCTGGTGATCCAATCCCACCCCAATACCGCTTCTACTCTCCTATTAATAATCGAATAGTCTAAAGCCTCTATCCCTCCTTCCGTCATTACCTCTATTTCCACTCTTCCCATTACTGCTATTTGCGACCCATCGAATTGCCGTATTCTCAAGCCTTCATTTGCTATCATTCCATCGGGCCAAATACTCCTATATCTCGTATAACTATTACTGAAATAGCTGCTCCCGTGTAAAATAGCATAGGTACCCTATTTCCATTGAAGTCTATTATTACTCTAGGACAAGGATCATGTATTACCTCGTCTTGTATCATCCTTACATTCCCAATTATATTTCCTTGTTCTCGTGAATATATTTTGTTTGTTTCCCATAACCCACTCTTTTGGCCCCGTGTATCATTTTTTTTACCATCATATAGTCACAAATTAGCACAATCCCTTGCCACATGTCTTCTTTCTCGACATCGAAAACATTCCACGGTTTGATCTTCAACTCCCTCTGGAAATACTCCTCTTCACCCAACTCTGGCATCCTCAATGGTTCGCACAGTTGAATTGGTCCCATTACTCTCTTGGGAAAACCTCCTCGAGTATTATAATTTCCCGTATTACATTTTTCCTTATTGTGTCCAAATCTTCCGCAACCAGCGCATCGTAATTTCTCTTGTTTTCCTGGACAATAAGGGGCTATATGACCAAATCTACCACATTCGAAACACTTTGCCTCCCTAAAATCTCTGACCATATGTCATTGTCTTCCATAATTATAACAATTCATTCTTCCCCTCACTCTCGAGTCAAAACTGGGTCTTATTTTCCCTCTCCGTCCCTGAGAATCATCTCTAGGTCCCCTAGTCAACCTTTTATCACTATATATTTCCCTCTCATCAGGCTTACTTATTAATTTATCCACTTCACTCTCTGTCCATCCATTAATTAATTCTTGAACAGGCAACCATGTTACCTTTCCCATAACATCCTCCTCTCCATTATGCCCCTCTATTGTTAATGTCTGGCCCTTTATTCTCATGCTACGACTCTTTTTGACTCTTCTACCCCAAATCAAACTACACATCCAAATCCCTAATATGACTAGTGCTCCCACAATATTATATTGTAATTCCCAACATTTCATAAATTTAAAAGTTTTCATTTTCTCTCTACAAAAAGTTAACTAATACTTTTAATATAAAGAGTTTAACAATTTGCAACGTTAATAAATAAAATATTATGAGAATTGTAAACAAACTAAAGATGCAGCTATACATATATCTTGTATGACGTACAAAAATTTATTAATCCGGTTCTCCTTCTTTTTTTTTAAAACCTTTTACTATGTTTCCTTATTATTATAAATTCAGGTTTTCCTTCTTTTTTAAAACCCTTTACTATGTTTCCTTATTATTATAATTTCCGGTTTTCCTTCTTTTTTTAAAACTTTTACTATGTTTCCTTATTCTTATAATTTCAGGTTTCCTTCTTTTTTAAACCTTTTACTATGTTTCTTTATTCTTATAATTTCAGGTTTCCTTCTTTTTTAAACCTTTTACTATGTTTCCTTATTCTTATAATTTCAGGTTTCCTTCTTTTTTAAACCTTTTACTATGTTTCCTTATTCTTATAATTTCAGGTTTCCTTCTTTTTTAAACCTTTTACTATGTTTTCTTATTCTTATAATTTCAGGTTTCCTTCTTTTTTAAACCTTTTACTATGTTTCCTAATTTTAAAATAAACTTTTTCCCGTAATGTGTCGGGGTAACCACTTTTAATTTTTGTTATTAACCCTATTTTTTCTTCTATATTTCTTTTTTTTTTAAATATCAAACAACACTATTTATATTTTTTACTTTTCTATATTTCTTTATTTTTCTTTCAATATTTCTTTATTTTTTCTTCAATAAAAATCAATAAAATATATATCGTACATAAAAAAAAATATATCATCGTTTTTTTTTCTTTTCGCGCTTATATATTTGTTTTTTTTTACAAAATCATCCCTTTTATTTATTATTTTATTTATCACAAGTCAATCAACTTTCTTTTTTTTTAATAAATATTTATTCCATTCCTTATTATTCGTATATTACGCCATTACCTTCCTCTAGTGCTAGGCTTAATAGCCTGCTCCCTTAACAGATCGTATACTCATTAATACAGGGGCGCCACTAGCCTTAATAATCTCAGGGGGTTCAACTAAAAACTATTTTGCAGGCCTTCTGTCTGGTTTTATACAAATATATTATACTTTTTAATTGAAATTTGCAAACTCTGAATTATTCTGAATACAGAGTTTTTAAAGGATCGAATCAAAAAATCGCCGATCCTGGATTTGATCCTAAATTTGTCAATTTTCTCGGATTTAAGATCCTGACCTTAAATTGTGGAACGTGATCGAGATCATTTTTTAAATATTCGATCCCGATTCTTTTAAAAATTACTTTTTACTTAAAGGCAATAAATAAAATAAAAATTAAATTAAAATATTATTTAAAAAAAATATCTATCTACATCATATTTTATCAACCACCATTCCACCAGATTTTATATTTCAACAATTTTGCAAATTTTTTGTAAAAAAAAATTATATTTATTTAATTATATTATAGTATAAATTCTAGGTTTTAATAATGCCCTCCATTATAGATTTAGAAGATGATAATCTACTTCTATTGATGTGACAGCAGATATTAATGAGAATGAGAATCTTTTACCATTTCATAATTTACGTAAGTATTTTACTTTTGTAAAACATTTTTATTAGTTTATATAAAATAAAAATATAATAAATTATTTGTATTGTATATACCTTAATATAAAAGCATGGTAATAATTTATTCCAAACAATTATAAGAAATTTATTTATAAAAAGTAAGTCTATTATATAGAATTAATAAAATACTAGGTAAAATTCCACTTTTACAAACATATTTGACAGTTAGAGAATATATTACAGTTAATAATTTAACAAATTTTACTAATCAATGCTCTTGATATTAAATATAGCAACAATTTGCATTCAATTATTTAACGCCATCTATTTATTTTAAGTAAAAATGATATTTAAATTTAATCTTCATATTATTCATCCCACAATATCTTTAAAAGATATTTTCTGATGTCCTTATCAATATTTTTAGTTTTCTGTAAAATATATAATTCGCTATATTGGTAAAAATTACTTGATTGTCATTTGATAATTAGATATACTGTAAATCTACGACATATAATATTCCAATGTTTGTATTGTGCTTTAATATTTTCTTAATTTATTATTTAATTTTATCAATAGGTTTATAATTATATTTTACTTTTATTAAGATAAATAAATTAAAATTACTCACTTTATAAAAAATTATATTTGATATATTATATTAACTAGTAGATAGCCCGTCAAAAATGACGGAGAATAAGAATTTTATTCGTTTTTTTAAGAAAGATGTTACCTTTTTTTAAAAATCTCCAATTTATATAATTTTTAAACCCCCCTCCCCATTTATGTCAAGTCCAAGCAATGTCATTGAGTCCAACCCATTAGGACTAAGAGTGGAAACTATTATTTGAGTCAAAATATATTTAAATGAGCTTGTATCCAATACCAAAATTATTTGTAAATATATTACTGGTTACATAAGACTAACATTTAACATTAAAAATTTCAAGCCAGGTCCAAGCTCATAATATTTGGAAAAAATTTCCACGCGTTCAAGACCTTATAATTTATAAAAAAAATTCTCAAGCCTAGCTCAACCCATAATAATTTTGAAAATTTTTTCCTAGCCAGGCCCATAATAATTTATAAGATATTCCCAAGTCAGGTGCAAGCAAATATTAATCTTGAGGAATATTTTTCAAGCCCAGTCCATCCCATATTAAGTTTCAAAACTATTTCCCAAACCCGGAGATAGTTAAATTTCTAAATAATTTATCAACACATGAAGGGGAAATCTCGGATTTACCAATTAGTGGGTTAACTCCTTTTATCAAAAAATTTGATAAGGGCTATCTATATCTTTTGTTAAGTACAAAAAATGCTATTTATTTAAATTACAAAAATGCCATTCAATACTAATGAAACTTATATGCAATTTATTTATATATTTTTTAAGAAATTTGTTTTTCTTGCCATATAAATTTAGGTAATTTTTTTAAAAAATGATGAGGAATAATTATTATTCTGTGTGTCTGGTAAAATTAAGAGCAAATCCTTTCAGTCGTCTGCAGAAGGAAAAATTAATGTATAATATCATCCCATTTAGGGTTGTGGGTGAAAGTAATGAATAATGACGGATTACCAAAGCAGTGTACAACACCCATTGCGTCCTGATAAAGCTGAGGCCCTGGGCTACTGGTAAAAAAAGAACGCAAAATGATATTTCTGCCAAAGTGTCAGTTTTGGTATCCCCCTCTAAAATAGAATCATGAACGACATTGTCAACTCAACCATAAAACGGTCGTAAGTATTGTTATAAAGGCCATGACAAAACTACCGCATATTTTCCCATTAATAATGTTAATGAAATTGGCCGCACTACACATTCACGTTTGAACATCTCTCTAAATATTCATGAAAGTTCCTCAGGGAATCGGATAAAGTATTATTTATAATAACTCCTAATGAGGTAAATGATAGTGGAATTAAATGCTTTTATTTATTAAAAATTAGGCAGAGGTGGCATAAGGATTGTGGTAGTGGTGATAGAAATATCATTTGGAGGCAACTGGGTGTATAAAATAAACATATAGATATAAAACATTAGATAAAAAACAAAATAAACCTCCAGAGGAGTTCACAGTGCCTTATTATCTTGGCCACCAGTAACTCTAGAGCGGGTAAGGCGGTTGTTGAATCGCCATTTTTTTCTTTGCTTATCTTTAATAAAAGATTCATCATGTTTGGTAGCAATGTGAGGGATTAGGGTTAGCCTAGACAAATAAAGAAATCAGGCAAAAATATAAATATACTATTGTTGAAATTAAACAAACATTAAAATAATGTAAAACCGGTAGAAGGGTCAATATTAGATGCATATTTCTAATAAGTTGGAGGGCTATCATATAATAAAATTTTTGGGGGCTAATCAAGTCTATTATGATATTCTAAAAGTTAAAAAATAACATGATAAATGTAATGATCCAAGCATCCAAGATCTTAATATTTAAAAAGATTTTCTCAAGCCCACCTTCCCTAATAATTTTGAAATCAAGCCCAGAGATATTAAATTTATAACATAAGACTAACATTTAACATTAAAAAATCCTAATATAGGTTCTACCCTACAGTAACTGGAAAAAATATCCAAGCATCCAAGACGAACATTTAATAATAAAAATCCCAATATAGGTTAAACTGGATAAAATATCCAAGCATCCAAGATCTTAATATTTAAAAAGATTTTCTCAGCCCACCTTCCCCTAATAATTTTGAAATCAAGCCCAGAGATATTAAATAAGACTAACATTTAACATTAAGAAATCCCAATATAGGTTCAAGCCTACAATATCTCGAAAAAATATCCAAGCATCCAAGACTAACCTTTAACATTAAAAAATCCCAATATAGGTTCAAGCCTACAATATCTGGATAAAATATCCAAGCATCCAAGATATTATAAAAAGAATATCTCAAGCCCACCTTCCCTAATAATTTTGAAATCAAGCCCAGAGATATTAAATTTATAACATAAGACTAACATTTAACATTAAAAAAATCCTAATATAGGTTCTACCCTACAATATCTGGAAAAAATATCCAAGCATCCAAGACGAACATTTAATAATAAAAATCCCAATATAGGTTAAACTGGATAAAATATCCAAGCATCCAAGATCTTAATATTTAAAAAGATTTTCTCAAGCCAACCTTCCCTAATAATTTTGAAATCAAGCCCAGATATATTAATTTTATAAATAATGAAGAGGAAATATCTGATTTACCAATTAGTAAACAGGTAAAATATATTACTTTATAAAAAGAATAACATAAGTCTAACATTTAACATGGAAAAAATATCCAAGCATCCAAGACTAACATTTAACATTAAAAAATCCCAATAAAGGTTCAAGATAAAAGCATCCAAGATCTTAATATTTAAAAAAAATTTCTCTAACCCACCTTCCCTAATAATTTTGAAACCAAGCCCAGATATATTAAATATGATTAACATTTAATTAAAAAATCCCAATATAGGTTTCCAAACTAACCTTTAACAATAAAAAATCCCAATATAAGTTCAAGCCTACAATATCTGGATAAAATATCCAAGCATCCAAGACTAACCTTTAACATTAAAAAATCCCAATATAGATTCTACCCTACAATATCTGGAAAAAATATCCAAGCATCCAAGACTAACATTTAACATTAAAAAATCCCAATATAGGTTCAAGAAAAAAGCATCCAAGATCTTAATATTTAAAAAGAATTTCTCTAACCCACCTTCCCTAATAATTTTGAAACCAAGCCCAGAGATATTAAATAAGACTAAAATTTAACATTAAAAAATCCCAATATAGGTTCAAGCCTACGATATCTGGAAAAAATATCCAAGCATCCAAGACTAACCTTTAACATTAAAAAATTCCAATATAGATTCTACCCTACAATATCTGGAAAAAATATCCAAGCATCCAAGACTAACATTTAACATTAAAAAATCCCAATATAGGTTCAAGAAAAAAGCATCCAAGATCTTAATATTTAAAAAGAATTTCTCTAACCCACCTTCCCTAATAATTTTGAAACCAAGCCCAAAATTTATAATTAATGAAGAGGAAATCTCTAATTTACCAATTATTCTACAGGTAAAATATATTACTTTATAAAAATAATAACATAAGACTAACATTTAACATTAAAAAATCCCAATATAATTTTGAGAAAAATTATACTTGATAAATAAGAGAATGTTCTATTTTGTAGGTCCTCGCTATCCTTAGTGCGTTTCTTTTTTTAATTGATCTGCCATCTTTTTCTTTTATTAATGACAGAATCACCACCTGTACAATCATTAACTGAGGTTAGGACATGGCTTGTTATCTAAAATAGAAACAAAAGAATAAATAAAAAAAATAAATGCATTGAACTTGATGAGGAGTCAATATACCACTTGTACAATCATTAAATATGGGTAAGAGAGGGCTTGTTATCTAAAATAAAAACAAAGAATAATATAAAGAATATAAATGCAATGAACCTGAAGAGGAGTCAATATTAGGTTCAACTCCCTAGAAATAGTTGGGACATTATCAGAAGCTAAAATAGATGTATTCTATAATATAAAAGAGTATAAAAAAATATATATAAGGCTAAATTTATTTTGAGTTGTTAGATTTTGAAGGGCCTCGCTATCCCTATTGCGTTTCTTTTTTTGATTGATCTGCCATCTTTTTCTTTTATTAATGATGGATATATCACCACCTGTACAATCATTAACTGAGGTTAGGACATGGCTTGTTACCTAAAATAAAAACAGAAGAATAAATAAAAAAAATAAATGCATTGAACCTGATGAGGAGTCAATATACCACCTGTATAATCATTAAGTGAGGTTGGGACATATCTTGTTATCTAAAATAAAAACAAAAGAATAAATAAAAAATAGATTAATGTATTAAACCTGAAGAGGAGTCAATATTAGGTTAACCTCTCTAGAAATAGTGGGAATATCATCCATCATAAGCTAAGTATTCTAAAATGAAAAGTATAAGCCTTTTTAGTATGTATAGATGAATAATTTATTTTGCATTTGGTAGATTTTATTGGGCTTCATGTCTAAAAATATTTTCTATAAAAAAAATAAAATAAAATCAATAAAAAAATAAAAATAAAAATAAGTACGTACCGATGACATGACGTAGCGATGACATGACGTAGCGATGACGTAGTGAGGACACCTGAAAATTATAATATAGATTAGTAATTTTATGTATAATTATAATACATATCACTTCTAAGACTTATCTTTGGCTTATATTCCATTTATTAAAAAACATTTTTGGTTCATTTTACATATTTATAAATTTATTTTCCCAAAAATCTATCAATTATGATGAATAGTTTTATAAAAAAAATATCAACTTTTACATTCTTTATTTTAAATTATTATTTAAGATATATGCATACAGGGTCAGGGAGTGGAGAGAGGACTAAGGGGGGTATTTTTATTAGCTAAAAATGATATTTACAAAAAGTGATAAATTTCTGAAGGGGGGGAATTTCCCTTTACCCCCCCCCCCCCGGCTACGCCTATGGATCTATGCAAAATGCTCTTTATGCACAAACAAAATATCTTCTTCAAAGATTAGAAGTTCAAACCTGAAGAGGCATTTAGAAGTAATTAATTCTTTTAAAAATACAATTTTTATTATTTGTGCAGATTATAACAATATGCATATAATAAAAATTATAGATTTCCTTCACTATATGATGACAGTAATATATTGGCACCAAAAATTACCCAAAATTTAAGCTCAATTGGCCTTTTATTAATCTGCCACAAAATTTGTTGCTAAAAGGTTAATTACCCATTTAGAAAATATACAGGGTCAATCATATGCAGATCCTTTAAATGAATGCATGGATCGATACCTTTTTTTGGAAAAACTCAACACAAAATGCTCTCTCTTTCCATTAATAATTTTTTTTTATTCTAATGTTGATTCAGTGAATATTTTTAATAATTATGTTGATTAAAAAAATACATTTATTGAATATAACATACCTACCATCAAGCGCCTGTGGAGCGCTTCTTTAGTAAAGCTAAACATGTACTTAATGAAAAATGTGGTTGTTTAAATAATGATAATTTAGAAAAAAATTTATTATTAAAGGCTAATTTAATTATGAATAATTATATTCTAATTGTTATACTTATATTATATTATTCAATTACAATAAATTTATACCATATTTTTTTTTTATATTAGTTAATTTTGCATCGATCAGAAATTTAAATAAGAAATGGATCGTGATCGCGATCCTTTTTTTAAAAAAGGGTCGATCCTGGATTTCTCCTCTTTTTTTTCAAAAGATCGTGATCGTAAAAGGATCGATTAACAAGCCTGTCTGAATATCATATTTTGTCATTTATTATGCATTCAATTTCAAATAATGAAAGTAAAACAATACAAAACATTTCTAAAGATAATATTTTTTAAACAAAATACGATTACGGATGAAAAAAAGTTTACGTCTCAAGAATTACGAGTGATAAAAAAGGTTAATTAATTTATACACTACAATTGATAGCGGTTTTTAAAAACAACACAAAGCAATATTCTTAGCAGCCTACATTGACAAAAGGTGTTGAATCTAATATAACGTTGTGTTACAATTTTAGCAGTGGCGTCCCAAAAAAATTGAAATCACCCTGAAGCAAAAAATTTTTTTTTTTAATGGCTCCTTATATCCCACTAAAAATAAATTTTTTTGATTGCCCCCTGAACGATTTCTTTTATAATTCTATTAAGTAATATCTATATATTTAATTTTATTATTTAAAAGAATACTATTTTAATGATTTGATTATATTAATACATATAAATTATATTTTCACTATGTCAGCTTCAAAATCTATGTTAAAAATAGAATATCATATTACTCACTAAATATTAATGACTTTTATTATTATTATATAATCCTAATTAAATTAATATAATCATTTATTAATTGAAAATTAATAAATTTAATCTAGTTCAAAATCACTAATCAACTATACAGTCAAAACCGCTTAATTGCAAATCACTTAAGTGCAAATACTTTTAAATGCTAAAAAAAGCGCCATTTTCTTAAAATCTACAATGGTATAATGTTAAAATATATTTTTAAATGCAAGTCGATTAATTGCGAAATGTCGGTTAGCGAAAAATTTTTAATCCCAATGTCAACAACGTCATTTTTATCGGATAAATGTGAAGCGACGATTTTTAAATTGGAGAAAAAAAAAATTATGTTATTGGGCCGAAGACAGTAAATTTCTTTTAAGTGTAGATTTCTGATGGGGTTTGTTCCCAAAAAATTTCCTGTCATGTCACCGTTGCCCACATAATATTTAATTATTGTCAACATGATCCCCATCAATTTTTTTGTATGTTAGTCAATCATTAAATAAAAATGATTAAATAAATAGCAATATCGAAGAATCTGATTAAATTTGTAGTAAATTACACATCCTACCTATTTGAAAATTTCAAGTTATATTTTACATTTAAAAGATTTTGTTAAAATTACATTTCTTGCCTGAAGTGTTATTAAATTGGTTAAATTTAACAGTTGAAAAAATTTGCTATGCCTTATCGCAATAGTATATTTTTTTCAAGCGTTATCCTTTAAATTTTAATCTCGAATAAAGATAATATAACAGTTTTGGCCAAAAATTTTGATTTAGCTTCTTAAAGTAATTCAAAACCTATTAAAATAGAACTATTCACCATTCCAAACATTGTAGGAGGCGCATATCTCTGTCATGTGGCCGATATCTTATAAGGTGACTCACCTTATAAGATATCGGCCACTTAAAGGTGTGCTATTGTCTATTTCTCATATTAAAACTAGTTTTTGTTTATTGACTAGAAAAACTGATTGATGGAATAGTAAGTACTAATCTAGCATTTCATATGGTATGAGCTCGCCCAAAAATATTTGTTTTCTTTCGCATGTTGCCAATCGTGGCAATTTTATCTTATTTTGTCGTTAAAAACTATTTACCAAACGTATTGAAGAATCAATGAAAACCGTTTAATTGCATATCGCTTAAGTGCAAAAACTTTTAAATGCGAAAAAACCCCGCGATTTTGATAATAATTACTATGGTATAATGTTAAATTACATTTATAATTGCGAATCGGTTAATTGCGAAATATCGGATAATTGCAAAATTTTTCAGGTCCCATTTATATAACAATAACGTTAATTTAATCGGATAAGTGAAAAAATAAAAAAAATTTATCGAAAAAAATTATTCATCATTTTTTTATTTAACCTTTTTCCATTCATTCATTCATTCATTACCACGCCAGAAATTAATATAAAAATGGTAAAAAAATCATTCCAAACATTAACCCTGAAGCATAAAAAAGAAATAATTGATAAATTAAACACTACATCAAAAACACAATTAGCATCAAATACAATTGCCACGTCTCGACAATCTACCGTTTAATAGCGAATAAAGAAAATCTATGCTCACAATTTCTAAGGAATAAACCTCCTACAACTAAAAGAGTTAGAATGAGTTGTTACCCAAAGACAGAAGCAGCTTTATTGGTTTGGTTTACACAAATGCGAAGTAAAAATTGCAGTCTAAATGGGCCAGTGATGTTAGAAAAAGCTATGTTTTTTAGCCAAACATTCAATGAAGGTAATTATAAGTTTTTATAATATATATATATAAATTATAGGCATTCCTACTAGCAGCTGGTTGCAGAGATTTAGGAAAAGACAGAATATAAATTTTCATAATGTTTGCAATGAAAAGGGGAGTGCAGATATTATTAATGCAAATGAATGGAGCAGAAATACACTCCCATCTCTGATTAAAGATTATCAAAGGAGTAATATTTACAATTGTGATGAGACAGGACTATACTACCGAGCATTACCAAAGGGCACAATGGAATTTAGTGGAACTCAACCACTGGGCTTCAAACCAGACAAGGAAAAGGTCACAGTTCTATTTATCATAAATGGGGATGGATCTGATAAAAAGTTATATGTTGTAGGGAAATTTAAAAACCCTAGGTGCTTTAAAAATAAAAAATTACCAGTTAAATACTACTCCAATAAAAGCAGCTGGATGACAACCTCAACTTTGAAGATATTCTTAAAGAATGGGATTCCTCATTAAAGAAGAAAATTTTATTGTTTTGTGACAATGCATCTTGTCACAAAACAAAATTAACTTAACAATATAAAATTAATTTTTTTACCAGCAAATACAACATCATTAATTCAACCTTTGGACATGGGTGCAATTAGATCCTTTAAATGTCATTATAGAAAGGGTATCATGAGAAAAATGATAACATTGATGGAAGGAAATGACACCATTTCTTTTTATAAAAGATTTACACTTTATGATAGCCTCTATCTTATAAAATTTGCATGGGGTGAGGTGACAAGTACCACAATCATAAAGTGTTTTATTGAAGCTAAATTTTTTGATAAGTCTATGGCATTTGATTGGGAATCGGAGGATGATTTAGCATTAACTGACAACGAAGAAGATGAATTTGATCCCATATTTGAAGAATATGTGTTACACGATGATGATGCTAGCTGCCATGGAATTTTAGATGATCAGGATATTTGTAATCAGATAAGATTAGAGTTGGAAGGTTTAATTACTTAAAATTTTAATTAATCTTATTTTTTATAGAAGGTTATGAAAGCTCCGAAAATGACGAAGGGAACCTAGAGATATCTGATCATTTAATTACAAAAAATCAGGCTCTTAATGGTTATTATACTTTTCTTGAATATGCTCATGAACATCTAAGGGATCAAGATTCACTAAGAAAGCTAGAGAATATAGTGGAAAAAGAATTATTTACTCCAGAGTCTAGCCAAACTCTTATCACAAAATATTTTTATTAAATCTTATATTACTTTATAATAATTGTGATACATGTATAATAAAATTAGTTCAAATAAAATCTTATGTTATAAAGCATTAATAAACTTTCATTCCAGCATGGTCTGTTAATACATTTACATTTATAATATTAGAATTTATAAGATTTGAATAGGCATAGGATTTTAAATCAAATATCATGTGAATGAAAACAAAACACTTAATAAACTTAAATTCTTTTATATTAATCTTATTGTTTCCAGTTTTTTAGGCAAAATATTTTAAAATTTGGCTTTAATAATAAATTAGAATTTAAAAAGTGATAATATATTTGTGTAAAATTATATTTCAGTAAATTTAATGAAGGTAAAATGACAAAAGTAGTTAAAATTAATGGAAATAAATATTAGGGTATTGTAAAGGAAAAAATGTTATTATCTTCACAAAAGCTTTTTTTTGCTTTAATTCTTACATATCTTAAATAAAAAATGAGATAAAATCAAGTAAACAAATTTAATTATAATTTTATTCAATAAAAAATAATTTATCAACAACTATAATGCTAATACATAAATAATTACAATCTTTTTATAATTAAGTCTTGTTTTCTTTGTTCCTTTCTGTCTATAATCATGTCTAGATCTAGAGAAAATATATATATCAAAATATATCACATTACTTTCAAGTGCTTCAGATATTTTAATATTATTTGATTGATCTAAATTAATTGAATACTTTTTATAAAATAATAACTTGATGAATTGACGATAAAAATATAGGATTATTGGTGGGAAGAAAAAAAAAGCTATGATCATATGTTTCAACAAATAAGATAAATTTTTAAAATTTAGTTTTTTTATTCGTTACATAACTTATTCAAATTAAAATATATAGTTGGTTACATTAATTAAAAATTGTATTTATTGCAAAGTTTGATGGCTTATATGATTAAAATATATATAGATGATAAATATCTTTATAAAAAACACAAACTGATTTTTAATAAATAAATTGTTGAATTTTAATCGTATTTGCGAAAAATCGGATAATTGCGAAATTTTTAAATATTTCGGTCCCAAGCTTTCGCAATTAAACGGTTTTGACTGTAATAAATTTCAATTATTGATTTAAGTTCCAGATTAAATGCTTCCAGAAATTTGGTTGATTTTACGCTTTAATAGGTGATATAGATTTTATTTCTCTTATAGTACGGTTACCATTTTGTGTGTGAAAAAAAATGACTGAAGAATTAATAAATATTAGTGCAAACCAACTATTTTCCATTCTATCAATAATGCCAAATTGGGCAATTTTTCTTATTTTGCTAATAAACTTTTTCTTTATAATGTCTATTAAACGAATTAAATTATAATTAATACGGAACATCGATAAAATTTTCAGAATAAATTATTTCAGTCGTTTAAATCATAGATTTGCCAAAATTCTGTTACTAATAGTTTTTTCCTTTTACGAGCTACTATACTCGTTTAAATACTCAATTGGTACTAATAAAGCAAAAAATATTGATATAATTTACAATTAGTTCGTAGAACTATTCAGCCGCCAAATTTAACGGCGCTGATATTAAAATATATAAATCTTGTCTATTCCTCTGTTCTGATACACAAGTTGAAGCATATAAAGAAATTACTCAGAATTATCAAATTATAACGGTAATTATAGATATAAATAGCTTAAACCTTTGATTTTGAATAGCACGATCAAGTTAGAATATTTTGAAAGAATTAAATAAAAATGTAAATATAAGCCTAAAAATTATGTAAAGATTTATTTTTAATTCTACATTCAAACTGGCTCAGAGATGAGTTTAATGAATGATTAGGCGAAAAAATCATTCTTCGGTCTCATTTGATTTATTAGAGGCGAATTAATGGTAAAGCAGAAATACATGAATTGCGAAGAGTTAAAATTTATTTTCATGTATAATAAACTTTTTAATAAAATAAATTCCTTCCGATAAATATGTAGATTTGGATCTAATTTTTATATATTTTGACTTTATAAATATGGATAATTTTAAATTTAAATTTATAAATTTTAATTTGAAAAAAATTATTCACCAATATTTATATGCCGCTTTTTATCCTTTTGGTCATTGAAAATCCCACCTCACTCTTAGAATATTGGAGGTATGCCCGGGCCTAAAAGCCCGGGCCTAAAAATTTTTGCAATCTACAAAATGAGAAAATTGAATAAGACAACTATTTAATCAATTAAAAATATAGCCACTTTTTATAATTATTTTTTATTATCCTTCATTTATATACTTTTTTTAAAATTTAGAAAGTGTTTTTAACAAACCACCCCCCCCCCCCTTCATTCTTGTCGTGGTAAAATATGTAAGAGTAAATAAATAAACACTCCATTTTGCCCTAGTTTCCCGATATTGGAATATCGATTTGGAACATTTTCTATTTATTTTCAAAAAATCCTGATTTTTTAAATTCCATTTTATTAGGAAAAATGATTAAAAGTGCTTACAAATTGAGTAGAAACGTTTAGCGGTGTTTTCATGATAACGCTGTGATTTAAATTGAATTGGTATTATTTTAAAAAATTATGAAAACTATTTTACATTTTTTTATTTTTATATTGTTTAGTTAGACTTGTGAAATCAGCAAAAATAAAAACTAAATAACTGAAGATCTAATGATTTATACCCATAATTTATTCTTCATAAATATTACAAATTTATGTAATCCAATAGAATATTTTGAATTTTTTTTGATTAATCATAACTTTGCAGTTATTTCTATTTATTAAAATGCGAATAGAAGAAAAAGGAGAGGTCAAGATATTCAAATGAATTGGTTACTTTTATATCAGAAAGTTATATCGATGTGCATTATCTAAAAATTGTAATTAAGAGGCATTAATTATTAGTAAAATCTTCTATAATTTTTAAAAATAATCTGAGAAATCAATAAAAAATTATTAGCTTTCAGTATATTTTTTTATAGATTGGAAAATAAGTATTCATTTAAATGACATTAAAATTTTATGTTGGAGGGGGGTGGGGTTAACTTATTCTTAAAAACTTAACCCAAAATGTCCCCTCCATACTTACAACCATGAGTGAGTGAGATCAGAAAGACTAATATATTTTCTATGACATCAGATAGAGGTTACATGCTTATTAAAAACAATACGTAATAAAATATTCTTAAAACATTGGCGTTTATGATTTAAGAAACTTCGGTGGTAAATTGATTTTGAATATATCAATTTCACTTAAAATGAATTCGCAATTTTCACGGTCATGCGCTTGCTATAGCGATAGAAAATTTGCTATAAATGGTTCTCGATTAAAGTTTCGCTATAACGAGTTAGCGATCAAAGTTTCGCTAAAATGTATTCGCTCTAAAGTATTCGCGGTTTAGGTTTCGCGGAAATAAATTCGCTATAATGAGTTCGCGATCAAAGTTTCGCCAAAATGTATTCGCTATAAAGTATTGCGGTTAAAGTTTCACGAAAATAAATTCTCTATAACGAGTTTGCGATGAAAGTTTCGCTAAAATGTATTCGCTATAAAGTATTCGCGGTTAAGGTTTTGCGGAAATAAATTCGCTATAACGGATCAAAGTTTCGCTAGAATGTATTCGCTATAAACTATTCGCGATTAAGATTTCGCGGAAATAAATTCGCGATAATAAGTTAGCGATATTGTCTTCGCTATAAATGTTTCGCGGAAAAAATTCGCGGAATTCGTTTCGCGATATTACCTTCGCTATAAAATTCCTTCGCGATAAACGACATTCGCGATAAAAGTTTCGCCAAAAAGTGTTTCGCGATAAAAGTTTTGCTGAATTGACCTGATACGAAGAAAATTTATACCTTAGACAGTTAATGATGCTTACTACCTTAAGATACTACTCAAATTTGAATTTTGTTTATTTTTCATTTGGATAGGCACTACCAAATATATTTATAATATATATTTGAAATATCGTGATTTTTGGAAAACCTCTATGGCTCGGCAAGAGCTTCGCTTACTGATCCCATAATCACAGGTTCGAATCCCGGTTATTCTAACTTGGTGGTTCCATCCTTGGGGGGATGATATCTAGGAGGCCGGACTCGACCACGTGATTCCATTATAATATATTAAATAATAAGTCTTATTACATTTTAATAAATTTTGGTCGGTATTTAGCAAATTGGGTTGGTATTTAGAATATTTCCATACATTAACTTGGTAGTAAGCATCATTAACCATGAATATCTCTCGAAATATGCATATCCAATTTTATATCCATCCTAGGCTCTATGCCAGATAATATTTGCATTATAACGCTTAGTAATAATGTTGCTTTATAACACTAATGGGATTATTAAATAAGATAATACTTATAATTAATAATATATATATTATATCTATTTCATATAATATATTTTGAATTTTTAACATTTTGTTTCTTCTCGATGCGAAAGGGAAATTATGATAAGAAAATGATTAAATGCCTCAAGAAATTAAAAATATACCCTAAAATTTCGTAAGAAATCTATCTAAATAAAATATTAATGTATTTATTTAAATGTTTAAAAATAGGGTGCCAATTTTGAAAAAGAGAGTACTTTCGCATCTAAATCACTTTTCTAACAACACCATTTTGAATTATTAAGTCTTAAGGAAGATAATTGATTCCTCGTCATAATATCTTGATATGAAAACCATTAGTCGGGGGGGGGGGTGGAACTAAATGATCTTTATTCATATATAAAGGCGCATGTTTTAAATTTGAAGGATTCTGGACCAAAATTCTGTTCTATCACTTTTGATTTATGGATATTTCATTTCAAGCGTCAAAATTATATCACTATATTACGTTTAGTCTACAATTTAAAAAAATTCTGATTTAATATATTTTACCCTGGCAACTAGAAACGTGACGCAAAAACATACTGGTGAAACTATATTATATGAGATGGATATTATAGAAGAGAAATTCTTTTAAAAAACAAAATATAACAGACGGTAACTAATACCGGAGTAAACGTCAAAAGAAGAGTCAGATTGAGGGCTTATAAGCATCATTTATGCTTAGGGCTAAGTTGATGGCATAAAAAAGTTGCCAGAATTAATATTCTGATTAAAAACATTAGAGAGTATTGAGTAGCTGATTTGGAATGTGAAATTGAGGTTGAGCATCGTAAATGCTTGCAATCAATCTGTGAGGCAGACCATATTTTGGTTGATGATTTCCATCAGAGTTGTACATTTGCTCAAGATCTTTGAAGATCGTAAAATTTGAAGATCGTAAAATTTGAAGATCTTTTATTTTTTAAAAATTTTGTGTAACGATCTTCAAAGATCTTCAAAGATCTTCATGATATTTATTTTTTTACCCCTTTATTAAAAACCCAGATGTTTTTCAATTTTATTATTATAATATTTCTTTTATGTTTTATACCTCTCCTCCTGCCTTGATGAAAATTGAAAAACATCTGGACTTTTAATAAAGGGGTAAAAAAATAAATATCATGAAGATCTTTGAAGATCGTTGATCGGAGCGATCCTCAAAGATCTAGATCTTTGAAGATCGTTACACAAAATTTTTAAAAAATAAAAGATCTTCAAATTTTACGATCTTCAAAGATCTTGCTCAAATTTTTGAGCTAGATCTCGCTCAAAAATCTTCAAAGAAGATCTTTTGTACAACTCTGATTTCCATCCCTTGATCGATAGTTACGCTGATAATATAAATTGCATTTCACAAACAGTTCTAAATAATGCGAAAACTTTAAAATTAATTGCCCACACGCTGGCACAGCATATCTGATTATTTTTTTAAAGAAGAGAGATTTTATTTCAATTTTACTTATGCCAATTTTTTAAAAATAATATTTATAATTTATGTGAGGATCATCCATCCTATGGAGATTTACTCATTTATTAATGATTGTAATTTTGCTATAGTTTATTCATTTATTCAAAGATTCGGTTATCTATTGGATATTCCATTCCTTACATTAAATGATTTAAAACATTGTATAGAAAATTCATCAACAGGTTTTGATTAATTTTTATAGCTATTCTGATTTTTATTTTTTATTAAATTTTTAAAGCATTGATACATATGCAGATTACTCTTATAAAAAAAATTAGAAAAAGTATGCGACGTGAAAATTGGGAAAAATATATAATAAAAGTTTATTTTAATGTATTTTTATGTTATTGATAAAATAATAGTTTACAGATAATTTAACAGTTGATGAAATTGATTATTTATATAAAAAACAGTATGAAAAGATAAGTGCTCACAAAAAATTATATATTTTAAAAGTATAAAGTTTATGTGACATGTGAATAATTAATTATATTTTTTTTATATAAAATAGAAATTATTGGAAATACAATTTGATGAAAATAATGATTTTAAAAATGAAATTCTAAACTTGGAAAAGCAAGAAATGAGAGATTTGCCTATAGGCAGAGATATTTTGGGTTATTTCTATTGGTTCCAGCAAGATATTGAGGAAGGTATAATGATATATAAAGAAGGCAATGATAATCAAAATTGGAATGTCATATGCAAGTATATAAAATAAAAGGAAACTAAATTTTATGTTAACTATTAAGAGACAGAGATGAATTGATTGTATTGATTGATCATTTAAAATATGAAATAGGTATAAAAATTTATAGTAAAATTATAGAAATCACATATTATAATACTCATATTAGAGGTCTGCAATGAGTGGGGTTTTAGCCTACAAGCCTGCTTCTTTTATTTTAATTTTTTTTAAAACTACTTATTCCTTTTGAAAAAATACCAACCTGCCTATCTATTATTCCACAATATGGTTCTATAAAAAATATCAACCACCCATTGTTTTTTTAGTTTGCCCACCAATGTTTTCTCAAAAAACATCTCAGTAACCCTTAAATGATATCATGTACTTGCCTTAAATCTGTCCAAAGGATAAATTTATGCCTAATAGTTTTTAAATTTTATTTAATATAATATAGTTTTATAATTTTAATAAATATTAAAAAAAAATTGAAATTCCTATTAATATAAATAAGTGATAGATTTAAATTTAATTCATTAACTCAAAAAATAGTGATATATTATTGATAAATTATAAGATTTTAGAGATAAAGGCTCATTTTGGCCTGTTAAGAAGCACAAGTTGACCTGTTATAATTTTAAAAGAAATTTGCTTATAAATTTGCCAACCCTTTAAAATTTTTCAAAAAGTTTGCTTTGGCACATTAAATTTTTTTTACAAATTTTTTAGGCATCATTTTTATCTATATCTTATTTTTGTCCCAATGTCAATTTAGAATTTTATATCTCTCCTCAATGACTATTTCTCTTTATAATTATTTTATAATTTAATTGTGTCTTATATATGTAATGTGTTTGTTTATTTATAATTGGATCATATAAATAACTTGTTTAATTATTTTTGTGAATTTACTATATTATTTATAGATTCATGATTTTTATTTAGATAGCTCCTAAAATATCATGAAATAAGCATAGTAATTTATTTAAAAAATCAATCAGCTTGAAATTTAAAAAAATATACAAAATTTTAATGCCCAGGCTTGATCTATTAAAATTTTATGAAAAATAAAAAATTTGGAAGCCCTACCTGATTATTTATGTATAAATTGTCTGGCCTGGCTCTAAATTTTTCTTTGTTATAATTTTTTTTCCAGCCTCTCTCATTAAAATTTTCTGATTTGCTAGACCCATTATATATTTTTTAATGGGTCAAGATTTGTAGATCTTTATAAGGTTTTCAATTTATTTATAATTTTTGCCTTTTGGTTTTCTAATTATATTTTATTTATTCATTTTTAAATTTTTATTCATTTAATATTTTTAAAAAATCAAATTTAATATGAGAATATTATAATAAACTAATGGGAGTTTAAAATAAAAGTGAATGAAAATTAAATTGCAAATTTTTAAAGAAAATCAAAAATAAAAGCATACACAATAGATGAATTAATTGATATAAAAGTAATAGGCTCACTTGTTTTTAATCATGTTTGTGCTTGGCAAGCAAGGAGTTATAAAATATTATGTTAAAATATAGAGCAAATATGAACATTATAAACTGAACTTTTTATATTATTTTGCCAAAAAATAAGATATTAAAAATACTGATATTTGTCTAAATTTTAATAAAAAATGAGTCAGAAAAATAAAACATTTTTAAGTTGCCCATTTGTTATTTAAAATTTTATAACCCACCCATTGCAAACATATAACCTATATAAATATCAATTTTACACTAATTTGATAGAAGATGATTTGCCTGATAATTACAATGATCTCAGTGAAGTTATGAATAAAGAAATTACTGATTGTGATGACGATGAAAATATTAAAGATAATCCTATAGCTAGATTGCCAGATTTTAAAAATATATGTAATTTCGATACCAATATAAGAAATGACCAATGTTTAAATGAAAATGAATACCACTCAAATTCTAATGGTGGCTTGAATGAATCTATAACTAATAAAATTATAAATGACATTAAAGATGATGCAGATCATACAATCATTGTTAATAATTTATCACAAAATAAATCGAATCAGAGTAAAAGTAAATATATATAAGAATTTAAAATTATTTAATTTTTAACTGATCTGACCTAAAATCAACCTAATAGGATTGGGTCGATTGGTTTAATTAAATTAAATTTTTATATTCATTCTTTTAAAATACAAAAAGATGAAGCATATGACCATAAAACTAAGTCTTGTTTGAGAAATAATACAGTAACGGAAGAACAAATTAGTAGCAGACCACCAAAACGAAAAGCAAATTTGAAAGTTATATCCAATTGCTTTCAAAGTATAAATCCAGACGCCCATGATGAATATAATAACGTATAATTTTAATTTAAGACATGATATTTCTTCATTGTTGGTTATAAAAAGTTTCCAAAATTTATATATTTTTTGCTTATTTTATATCAAGAGGATCTCTAGCTTGTATCTTAATAAACTGCAGAATGATTTTTTAATCCTTATTATGATTGAATTTTATAATAGATATAGATAATAATTTAAAAAATAATTTGTTTCTGCTGAACAATTTATAAAATGTCAAACACAAGGTTTGTAATGTAGATGACGTTATATTTAGAACTGCAAACCAATAAAAAATTGACGATGGCGGCGTTTTACTCTAAGACCAACGGATATCTGTCCGAAATCATTTACCTTGAAAAATAATTTATATTCACTGCTTTGCACGAAAAACCAGTGCTACATTATTTCTCTAGAAAAATAAATAAGGGCTCACAAAAATACGATTTTTTTGTAAAAATTTGAATATTTGGGAATTTTTATTTAAATTTATTGAATAATAGTATATTTTTAATCAAATTTCTATAACAAACGAATGAAATATTATTTAATATCATGAACTGGTTTTAATTCATTCTAATATCTTTTGATTTAATATCAGTTTTTAAAAAATTTGTACTCTTACTTTAGTTGCTAAATTCTATTTAAAAACAAAAATTAGCTACTAGTTTGTATAATAGCCCAGTTATTTGTAGAATAGCCCAGTTATTTGTAATTTAACTAAGTTTCTTGCTAATAGTTGAACCAATTTGTATATAATCTGTAACATAAAAGTTAAGTAAATTACAATTAATTTTTTATGTTTTTTTTAAAAAATATACAGCAAGATGAATCATTTAAAATAGACAATGGAAATTTAACGGAAGAAACTACTGAGAGAACATTAAGGAGCGCTAAGAAGAAGGTGTTACTCGAAGTTAAAAAAGATAACCAAATGTCTTTACCAAGTATACAACTTTTAGATTTATATGTTAAAAATATTGAGTTATGAATCATAATATTTCGTCGGGTTTAGAGGAAAGTTTGATTTCAAATCTTGTATATATCATTTTATATATGAAAAATAAGTTTGAAATGACACTTTATAAGGTAAAATGCTTTGCATAAATATTAGTATCTAATCTTTTATATCAAATATTGTATTTTTTTTAAAATTTTTATTTAGAAATTCTAAAAACTCCCAATCAAATATTGTATTTTTTTTAAAATTTTTATTTAGAAATTCCAAAAACTCCCAAAACAATTAACACCTGTAGAAAATGCAGTAAATCCCGACCTTCTCCAGTAAATTATTTGACTTTATTTCACTTTTTTTAGCTGGCTATTTAGCTTCGACTGAAAGTCTTAAAAAGTAAAAAAAAATTTAAAGAAATAAAAAAAAAACTAAACGAGAAAAAAAAATACGAAAAATAACAATGTCATAAAATATTTAAAATACAAAAATAGGGTGTCTTAGTTCAGTTTAACCTAGGCTAAGCAGTATTAAATATCAAAATTAATTCGAACCAGGACACAGCCTAAAATCTTAATTTATATTACCACTAACAGTTAAGTAAACATAAAAACACAAAAATATTAGGTGGAAAATTATCAAAAATATATTTCTTACTATATAAAATCCTCAACTTTAAATTTTATAATGATAGAAAGACATTTCTTAAATTTTAAGCTTTAAGTATCTTTTGATTCCGGATTTCATAAATATTATTTTTTTCACAATGTTTCTCAACTTATAACGTTTCCCTTGTTTAAGTCCCCTTGAAATTTATTAGCTAAATTATTGTTAAGTAAATAGTAAGCTTCATCCTAGCTCACTTTTTTTTAGAATTCTAAATAGCTGTCTCTATAGAACTGAAAAATAAATAAATGTCAAAATTGATTTTATAAAAAACTCCAAAAAGGGCTTTAGGTCGTGTTCTGGTTTGTCTTATTTCTGAACGGTAGCCGTCTATATTCAGAGACCTGCAGGTGGCCCTAAACCCAGCCATATTATAATTTTTTTAAAATATATCTAGGCCAGGCTTAAATTTATAATAAAATACTCGGGCCTGGCCGAATATTTTAAAACCAAATATTTTAAATCGCCATTAACTAAAAATAAATATAACATATTTTAAAAAAATCCGAGCCGGATCGTGTAAATAATACCTCTGCAAGTCTCTGATATAGCTTCCTCTAAACAGCCTAAAAAAAGAGATCCTTTAGATTTATCGGGCCTTTGTTTTATTTGTATCGAAAAAAGTAATAATATTTATTTAATGGACAAATTTAAAAACAATCCAGGCTAAGCCTAAATAAGTTTCAGAAATAAGACGAGTCAAGACACGATCTTATGGCTTATTTTTCTCTCGAAATTTATTTATGAGCAGGAGAAGCATTTTGACTATTTTATAAGTCTCGATTCAATATTAACCTAATAATAAATAATATATCATTGACTATTTTTAAAAAAAATTTAAACTTAAGACTCTATGCTGTTTGACCTGCTCATCTTTTTATCACGATTCATGTATTCCCCCATCTTATATCATTGTGAACACTATAGATAGTGATTGGGTTTGCTCTTTGTGTGAACACGTATAATTTTATTTACTATTATAATTATTTATTATACACTAAATTTAAAAATAAATAAATAGATAATCAATATTATTTATTTAATACCCCTAAAATGGGTCACAATTTAAAGCCTTAATCTCAGGTTTCGTTTTTAAAAAATTAATCTATAGAATATAAAAGCTCTTATTTAATGCCCATTTTCAAGGCGAATTAAACAATTTTTAATAGCTCTGACCTAAAATCTGGATCTTTTCCTTATTAAAACCCTTCATCTGTCCTGTTTTTGGCGTACCCTCTCATTTTAAAAAAAATCTTCAGAGCCCACCTGATTTTAAAAAAATATCTAAGGGTCGGGCTCGATCTGTCCCAAATAACTCAACTTTGAAGGAAACTCAAATAAATTTTCTTAAGCACACGTCTGTAGATTGACATAATTTAGCCGTTTTTAGTCAATACCCAACTATTATACAGGCCCATAATTATAACGTTTATATATTTAAAAAAAATATTTTTCTTATATTATGCTAATTTATTATAAAGCTACAAAATTGAAAAAAATATTACCCACCGAGACTGTATTATTTTAAATGAAATATTGTTATTTTATAAAATTAATTAAAAAAAAATAAATATCGGTATATAAATTATATGATTATCATTTAAGCAAATCAATATTTTTTAAAAAAATAAAAGCGATTACTAATTGAAAAACTTAGGAAAAAATTGAATCTCTTAGATGAATTAATCGAAAAACGCAAACATGTCGCAAGGAAACACGAAAGATTGAGGTCGGCCGGAATAAAAATCTCCAACATTTTAGAATATCATGTAAAAAATATTTTAATGAATATAACAAATTATTCATTTTTTTCTTGCTTTCATTTATTAAATCGATACAAATATCGAATTACGAGAGTTTGAAAAAAATCTTTGAAATTTTTTTAAAAAATTTTTGATTTTCATTTTGAAAGATTTTTTATTTATGAAAATTACAAAAAATTTACTTATAATTTTTTACATTTTTGAGTTAAATTTAATCAAAAATCTTTATTCCTCAAAAAAAATTTGCTTAAACATTTTTCGAAGATTTTTTCCAAACTCTGGTTAAAGCTTCATTTTTACCATTAATAAATTCGATCTAAAAAAACGTGATGACATTTTAATGGGTATAATATAACAAATGGATAAAGGACACACTGGAAAATGACCCCATGCACAAATTAAATACAACCGAAGAGCTGGAAGCGTTATTAAGCACCCGAATCTGTCGAAACAGGAAGCCTATTAATTACCATTTTGATGATTATGATAAATTGATAGAGAGGGCTATTAAAGAACAAAATTGTGAGTTTATAGAAGCGTACATGTTTTTAATTAAGTTATTTATTATAGATACAAACAGGTTGAATTAAATTATTTTTACAAGTTAAAATCATAATAAGCGTTTTGATTTTTAATGTCCTTTTCTCACATCTTCCTTCTCCATTTTACACGATCTTAGGTATCTTTTATGGTCCCGTTTTTTCATATCTATCTTTCTCATTTGTTTTTCTCGGGGTCTTGTTTCTGTCAAATTCAATATCATGTATTATAGTAGTCAAATATGCTCATCATTCAATATTTAACTTTTTATTTGATTATTTAATTTTTTAAAACCTTATGCAATTTTAATATATATAGCTTGCTAGCATTATTATGAACTTATCTTTATGACAATATTTTTTAATATTTAGTAATATTTTATACCAATATATCAATTTTGTCAATTCGTTTATAATATTTTAGATAATAATTCAAAAATAAGTTTCAAACATCATTATGCATGTTTTAAAGTATAGATTAAAATTTTACAATGACTTCCGTGTTTTATTCCTTTTAATAAAATATATTATTTGTAAAGCTTTTAAAGATCCTCTACCACATGATATGCACACTCGATCTTCTCATTTTTCCGATTCACATGAAGAAACAAACCTTAAGTATAGCATAGAATATTTCCTGGGATATTTAATAATTATATAAATCCATCCACTTTTTTTAAAAAAATATAATATGAGGAAATCTATTTTTAATTACCCAAAATAAACTTTTATTAATTTATTTGATCATTTTTTTAGACCTGAATGAAAGAATGTACCGGGTCGCTAAAAAACCTTTGCTTTTTGAAATGCTCTTCAAAATAAAAGTTTCAAAGATTTTGATTTCTGAAGATTTTTTGAGAAAGAAAAGAGAATTTTTGATTAACCTAAAATTTTAAAAAAAAATTGTAAAATCTTTTGTGATATGCATAAAAATATTTCATGATGAAATCACAAATATTTTGATGATAAAAAAATTTTCAATTTTGTGAAAAATTTTTTGCTAAAATTTTGGTTAAAAAAAATCTGTCTATTTTGCGTCTCTTGCTTTTTATGAAATTTTATTAGAGAATATAATCAACTTAATATTCCTCAATTTTTTTATAGAATTTGATTGTCTTTTATATAGAAAATTGAAATTTAAAATACTATAATTTGACAAAAAAATTAACTAAAGATCCTTAATATTATTTTCAGTAAGAAAAAAAAAATCTCCAAAATATTTTTTGAGCAAAAAATCTTTGAAGTAGAGATCTATTTTACCTAAAAATAGCAAATAAGTTGGACTATAGTGGAGGCCTGCTTTTTTAAAAAAATTTCATAATCATAAATTATAACATAAAATATTTAGGTTACCAAACAAATTTGAATTAATAAACGCCTTTTACTACCCCTAAAAAATGTTATCAAAAGACGGATCTCGTTCTGATAAAATTATGCTACGAAAATGAAATATTCATGCAGTTAAAGAAGCTTTAAAGCGAATTTGAAATACGGGATTCATAATCTTAATATAAATCTAATCGTATTATCAAGTATGGAACGAATTAAAGATTTTGGTTTATAAAAAAATAGGCAGCAACTTTGTGAATCTTAAGACAAACTTTAGAAAAAAAATTCGTGAGTTACGTACCTTAATTTCGCAAGAAAACTGACTTTCGATCAATGGAAAGTGAGATTGCTTTATGCTTATACTAGATAAATAAGGAACGATTCGACATACTATTTTTCGTTAATTATATACATATTATTTTGATAATTATTTAAATAAAAATCTCAAATTATACTCTTTTTTCTCCCATTATAATTTAGATTAGGGAAAAATTTTGAAAGAGACGAGCGGCGGCAATATTCCAACATAAATGGGAACCAGTCTAGCCCGTTTTAAAAAATAAAATATGGGTCTTGAATTATTTTTTTTAATAAATTTTTTATTATTTTTTAACTAAATTTTCTAAAGAAACAAATCAATCAAATTCTATAAAATTGAGGAACAGTTATATATAAATGTCAAAAGGCGAGGTTTTTATTTTATCCATTTTTTCAAAACTATAAAGTGTAATTCACTAAAAAATTGAACTTATTTATTTTTTACTTTTCATTAAACAAGAACTCCCACCTTTCACGTTAATCTTAAACCCTCACTATTAAATTATCTATCTCCCCAACTCGATTCTCATAACCATCAGTTTAGCATCCAATCCACGACAAATATTACTGAAGCACTAACCGCACTTAATACCACTTTAAGCCCGTCAATAGTGATGTCAGATTCCATTAATATTTTAGCTACAACTATTGAGGAAATAACTAATCTATCAACTGATCTTACCAAAAGAGGAAGAGGTAGACCCAAAAAACCAAAATTATTATTGACCGAAAACTATTACGAGAGACCAGTTAGACACAAAAAAATTCCTCAAAGGTTTTCTGATTTGCAAATCCTACAAAATAGATTAATTAAACCTGCCAACTACGAAAATATGGACGGCGAATCATTTATAAGTGGTTCTTTCCAATCTGATGATAATTACGATTCCAAGAGTTCTAATAGCAGTGAATTTGAATATGCATATGGGTATAAAAGTAGACCAAAAAAGCACAGGAAACGGGAAATTAAAGGTTTAAGGCGTTGGTTAATATTTGTAATATTGAATCATAGTGTTTATTAATATAATGTATTTGATTGCATGAGTATTATTTACGCAGTTTTTTAAACCAATTGAATTTTAAATTATTCATTTCACAGTTTTAAATTAATTGGATGCACGGGTTTAAATTAAATTATTCACTGTTTTAAGTTTAAGATTTCTCAGTTTTATAAATCAAATGTATAGTTAAACAAACAAAGTATGCACAGTTCTAAATTATTGAAATAACTTTATATAGAGTATTTTTTTATCCACATGGTATCCTTTTGCAAAAACATAATTTTTTTTGCAATATCAAAGTGACTATGGATCTAATTAGTATATTGAGATTCACTAAAAAATCTATAAAATAAAATGGTAAAACCGATATACTTATTTCAAATTTGAATATGAATCTGTTTTGTTTTTATATTTTAAAATATATTTTCTTACAATTGAAAATCTAATATAAATCCAATGAACGACTAAGAATGAATTTATTTAGGCTATAAAACTCTGCTGCTATCTCGTTCTACTTCATCATTTCATGAACTGCAACCTCTTAGCAAATGCTAAGGGAAGACATGGCCTTAAGAGCTTTAAAAGTCAAGGCCGGCACCAACCTCACTCTAAGAACGATCAATAAATTATCAACTGATGAAGGGTTAAGACCTAACGGTTTTACCACTATCCCCGGGCCGTAGGCAGTTATCTAACTTGAAATTATATCGTTTCATAAATAGATCAACAAATATAAAAATCTCGGCAATTTTACATTTTGGCCAATTGCTATTTCCACCAACTGATTGCGCATATCACTTTTTGTTTTTAAAAAAAATTTAACTCACGAAAATAAAGATACAAACACTTGATCCTAAATATTTATTCCTTAGACAGAATGTACAATTAAATATATTTAATTTTTTTTTAGAAATATAAATACAGTAAATAAAATTAAAAAATGCAAATTTATTAAAAAAACAAATGTTTAATTAATGAAAATTTTAAGTTAAAAAAGCCGTGTAAATAATTTAAAAAAACTGTGCAAATGATTAAATAATTGCGCGCAAAATAAAAAACTGCGCAAATGAAAAATATGCAAATGATTAGAAAACTGTAAAAATTGCGCATTTCGATTTGAAAACTGTACAAATAATTTATTATTTTTTTAAATGAGTTAATCCTTGAAATATTTTAGATAAATTTAATAATAAGCATCATTTCCAAATTTTTGAGAGTTTTTTTTTATGTATTCTTGAAATAAAAATATATAATCTTTTTATCAATTTTATAAAATCCAAGCCACGTGGTTATCGCTAAATATCCACGTGTTATATATTCAAAATTTATCAAATCTTATCTTATATGCCAGCGATGCTCGATTCTTGATATCGGTATCGAGCCCAGTTTTCCCCGATACTTTATATTTTAACCGATATCAGTAGCCTATACTAATTTCATAAATTATAATTTAAAAAAATGATAATATAGGAATCGATGAATTTTATTTTTGCTAATTTATATTATTATTTTTGTACCGATTATATCGGCTGATGCCATATAAGCATCGGTTAAAAAAAGTATTGATGCATTCTCTGTCTACGTTGTCAATATTTAACTTATAAAAAAACTAAAATAAATATAGAATCAGTTTACAATGGTTTACTCTCCTCTACCTTGCTCTTAGAACCAGAACCAGAAACAACTTCTAAAAATCAAAACAAAATTTTGATTAATAATTACGACGCTAACACAATTGCCGACGGTTATTACAACAACGAAAATAAAAAAACTTTCGGTAATAATTACGATGCTAGCACGATTGCTGACGGTTATTACAATGAAGGTCAAAACAAAACTTTCTTCAATAATTACGATGCTAGTACGATTGCCGATGGTTATTACAATAACAGGCCAAAAAAAAAGGCGGATAAAATTAATATTGTATCACGTCATTTAACATCTGAATCATCAAACATAGCCTCGAAAAGTCAACCAAAATCTACCGATAATAGTGCTAATAAGGCATCGATTGTCACATATTCGAAAGCTATTTTAAATACCCCGGAACAACAAAAACCGACCAACAGATCCCCAGTTAAGACTCCTTCAGTTGCTTACGTCAAATACTCCCCATCACCCAACTATCAAAATAATTTTTTCAATACCAATAATATTTTACTGGCCCTTAATAATAGCAACAAAAATCATCTTTTAAATCTTTGTAATCTCACTTCCTCCATGCATAATCAAACTGATCCATCGTCACAGGATAGCTGTATAATACAGAATGATTTGAATATTCACGATATAAATAATAGAAATAATTCTGTGAATAATAATCAAAATAGCTTGCAAAGTAATTTGAATATTCAAGTTATTCATAATCAAAATAGTTTACAAAATAATTTGAATACTCACGGTATTCATAATCAAAATAGCTTCTTGACTAATAATATTCAAACCAATTTTTTGAATAATTTAGGCAACAATTTCGTATCTCCATGTATGACCAACTTGAATTTAACAGAGTTATCACTAACCGATCTGACTAATATTTCGAACACCTTATCCGGTATCAACAATATAAATAATATACAGAACTTAAATTTAAGCAATTTAAATACGTCTCTCATACCAATATACTCGAGAAGCCTGATCCCCCAGGCAAATAATTGTATTTTATACCCAGTCAATCCAATAAATTTGAATTTACAACGTTTACAGCCTCTATACTTAACACATCTGTCGGATGAGCAACAACATCAAATTAATAACGAAACTATTACCCAAAACGAGATGTCAAATGTATGCAATTCGAATAATAACTAAATCATGAATTTGTTTTTTTTATAATTGAAAGAAAAATCGTGGACATTATATGATGTGTATTTAATCAGACAATTTTGCCTTTTTATAGATTATGATATGTAGAAACGCTTTTATAAAGGTTTTTATTTAACGTTTTATTTCGTTCAACTAATATAAATTTTAATATGTTTATATTAGATTAAATTAAAAGCAATACTTTTTGATTGTTCAATTAATTACATGTAATTTGTTTGATTAAAAAGGGTGGTGATTGCATTTAGGTATCTTTGATACCTCCATCTATGTATGAATATGTATTTTTTTAATATAAAATTCCTTTATTCATGAAATCTCAGCGCAAAGGTTCCCTAAAATATTATTATTGTTTTGTAGAATATGCAAATAATTACATACATACATATACCACATGTCAATAAATTTAGTTAAATTAATTACCTGAATGTAATTAAGTTAGACTGGAGTTTTTTTTTGTGAAAATTAACTTTCTGTGAATCCATCATTTAACTTTTTTTAGTCGAACTGAACCCGAATATTAAATTGATGTCCCGGGATATTGAATCAAATTTGATGGATTTTTGAATGAGAGCCCTGCTTTAATTATTAATTTTGGGATTCAAAATTAGATCTATAAACTCATAAAAACTTAAAAAAGCTTAATGCGGGAATTTCAACGTAACAGTTTGTACAAAATTCGTGAGAAATTATAATTAAAATAACTATTTACTTTCCAAAATGCAATACTTTTTTTACCAGAAAGTTATTAAATATGTTATATTGAGAGAAAAATATAATTCTTCAATAATCTCATTTATTTATTTATAATTTATAAAAATAAAATTGAAGGAAATAAAGAAAAATGCTTAGGAGCACCTTCTTTCTTTCTTTTGTCGACTTGCCAAATATCTGTATATCGGCGTATCTGTTTATTTGTTATTTGATTTAGTTGTAACCAACAACTCCTTGCTAGGTCTTAATTTACAACGCCAAACTTTAAAAATCGCAATATTCATAAATTAGTCATTTGCAACAATAAATCTATCCATATTTTAATTTAATGAAGTTTTTGATAAGCTGTCTTATTTTGGTCATAATTGCATTTTTGTTTAAGATTACTGCACAAACCTAGAATTTTTAAGAAAATGGTGAGACTATAGCTTTCTTATTTTTAAAAATTTTTTACTTATTTTTTTATCAATATCACATTAAATCATACAAATGATTCTCCGGGAAGCTCTATTCACGATAGTAAATAATTTTAAGGCCTGCCGAGAAATATGGGAAAAAATCATTTTTTCTTTTTCAAGTGTTCAAATTTATAATTTCGCTATTCTGTGGTATACATTTTATAGTGCAATTATTTCTTTATTTAAATTCTATTTTTTTGTATTTTATTTAAAAAAAGATATATAGAAAATTATATATAAAGTAGAGTCCTTGGCATCGGACCTATTTTTTGGGTGCATTCGCTGAGGGAAAAGAAAAGAAAATATTTTTATCCCACATCCGACCCGATTGTTTTTTTCTCCAAGATCTGAGTTCATCCAAAATTTTATTTTTGAAGCAGATCTGATCCTATTTTTTCTTCTCGAAAGAAAGCATGAGCAGTAAATTAATATTAAACACCTCATTATATATTTAAACTATTGATATAAATTTAAAGCTATTTCTAAATTGGCCCAGCCCGGTTTTTTAAATTCATGTTATTCTTTAATCCATTCCGGGCAGTGCCTGTAGATCTCGTTATAATTCATAATTAAATTTTAATGTTATCTACGGTAAAGTGAATATTTATAAACTGCTTAATTAATGTGTTATCAACTTAAATATCGAATAAAATATTTTTTAAACGAAATACTTCTGATAAATTTTCTCCCTTTAATTTTAACAATATTAAAAATGATTTTTTATAGATTATATCAAAAGAAATAATTACAGGATTAAGGCAACACATATCATTTATAATAATAAAATTAAGCAATCGATTAAAACTTATCATTAAAATGAGGTATAATAAAATTATTATATTTGTATTTATGCCAATGTGACTCGGATCGGTTAATGTAGAGTTCTAATATAAAATGATTTTCAACACAACTAGTTACTTATAAAGAAAAGTAACTAATTACTTCTAATAAGTAACAATTCTAATAAATTTATAACAGAAAAATTCCTTTTTAAAAATAATTCATTTTTCGATATTATCAACAAGGAGATTTTTACAACACGAAGCGAACTATCAATGTTCATGGGTTATTGATATATTATTATTTAATTTTGATTTTATAAAAAAAGATTTCCTTTTAAATTTAGATTTATAAACATGAATAATTTAAGTTATTATTAATATTTATTTAAAAAATTATCTTCATAAAAATGCTTTCATATGGCAATGAGCGGAGTTTAGCAAATTTTTTAACCTTATGGTTTTTTCTGTTTAAAAATTTTGCATAGAATAGAGATATCTTCCAATACTTTATTTTATATATAAATGTTTTTATAATGCCTGTCATGTTAATGGGTTGTGAGATATAGTGTTGTTAAAAATCGAGTTCTTACGACTTGTGACTCGAGTCGTCGATCAAGGAGCCGAATGAGCCGACCCACTTAGTCGGCTCGCTTAGTAGACTCGCTGGATCTGCTCAATTTTTTTGTTTTTTTTATAAAATTTGGTAAATTGCTAAATTTTGGGTAACTGATTAATGTGTTTTAAAAATATAATTTACATTGTAAAGATGTTAAATTAAAATTTCAGTGAAGATGTACCATAGATAAGTGACATAATCGTTGTTTTGGAACTTTTTCGATTTTTTTGACGTAAATGGGCTAAAATAAGCATTGCTAACATGTTTAAATAAAATTTTAGTGAAGATGTACCATAGATAAGTGACAATTGTCATAATCGTTGTTTTTGAACTTTTTTGAATTTTTTTAAAGCAAGTGGGCTAAAATAATCATTGCTAATTAATATGTTTAAATAAAATTTTAGTGAAGATGTACCATAGATAAGTGACATAATCGTTGTTTTTAAAGTTTTTTGACATAAATGGGCTAAAATAAACATTGCTAACATGTTTAAATAAAACTCCATTGAAGATGTACTCTAAATACAGGGTTTCCCATTCAAAAAAGGAAAATCGTTATTTTTTTTAAATTTCTTGACAATTTTTCTTAAACTTTAATTAATTTTTGTTATTCCTTCTTAATTTATTTCTAAATTTTAGCGATTTCTTTACGTTTTTTTTCATACTGTATCTTTTCCCAATTTATTTTTAACTTTTTGCGATTTTCTTTACTTTTATTTTTCTTACTATATCTTCTCTCAATTTATTTTTCTTCTCATTTTGATAATTCTTTTGTATTTTTAAAAATAATTTATAAATTTAGGTCCATTTTTTTAACAATTCTTTACGTTTTTTTTTTCATTATACATACAATATTCTTTTTATGATGTTTTCATTATAATCTTTTACATTCATTTTTAACCTTTTAAATCTCGTCATTTTTAATCTTTAATTTTTTGACCTTTTCTCATTTTTTTTCTTCTCATTTTTGATAATTATTTTTGATAGTTTAATTAGTTCATTACAAAATCCTTGTACATATAATTTTGTTATTAAAGACCATTTAGTTAAAACATCTATTTTATATATTTATAAAATAACCTATATTATACATTATAATAATGTATAAAAATAACTCGAATTAAAATCCATGGAAATATAAAAAAAAATTAATTTTATTTAGTCTGTCTGAATTTTAAAATGATTATATTTTATAAATTTAAATATCGTTTGGCATTACAGTTAAGGTAAACCAAACGATTAATTTATAATTTAGCAATTGTAATTATATTGTCAGCCAAAAACATTAAATATAATTTTAAAAATTTTTTATCAAAAATGAGAAGAAGAAAATTGAGAAGAGGTCAAAAAAATAAAGATTAAAAATGAAGAGATTGAAAGGGCTAATAATGTGTGTAAAAGATTACAATGAAAAAATCATTAAAAGAATATTGTATCTGTAACGTAAAGAATTGTTAAAAAAATGGGCCTAAATTTATAAATTGAAGAAAAATAAATTGAGAGAAGATATAGTAAGAAAAATTAAAGTAAAGAAAGTGGCAAAAAGTTAGAAATAAATTGAGAAGAGATACAGTAAGAAAAAAAACGTAAAAAAATCTCAATAATTTAGAAATAAATTAAAAAGGAATAACTAAAATAAATACAAGTTAAGAAAAATTTTAAAAAAATTACGATTTTCTTTTTTTGAATGGGAAACCCTGTATCTAGAGTACATATTCACTAAAATTTTTAAGCATGTTAGCAATGCTTATTTTAGCCTATTTACGTCAAAAAAACTTTAAAAACAACGATTATGACAATTGTCACTTATCTATTGTACATCTTCACTAAAACTTTATTTAAACATGTTAGCAATGCTTATTTTAGCCCATTTATGTCAAAAAAATTCGGAAAACTTTAAAAACAACGATTATGACAATTGTCACTTATCTTTGGTACATCTTCACTAAAATTTTATTTAAACATGTTAGCAATGCTTATTTTAGCCCACTTGCTTTAGAAAAATTCAAAAAAGTTCAAAAACAACGATTATGACAATTGTCACTTATCTATGGTACATCTTCACTAAAATTTTATTTAAACATGTTAGCAATGCTTATTTTAGCCCATTTACGTCAAAAAAATTCGAAAAAGTTTAAAAACAACGATTATGACAATTGTCACTTATCTATGGTACATCTTCACTAAAATTTTATTTAAACATGTTAGCAATGCTTATTTTAGCCCATTTACGTCGAAAAAGTTCAAAAACAACGATTATGACAATTGTCACTTATCTATGGTACATCTTCAATGAAATTTTAATTTAACATCTTTACAATGTAAATTATATTTTTATGTTATAAAAATTAGGTATATAATCCCTGAGGCCGAATCGGGTCCTGAACCATTTTTAATTATGACATGAATATTCTTATTATAATTTTGTTCACATTAATCAGTTACCCAAAATTTAGCAATTTACCAGATTTTATAAAAAAACAAGAAAATTGAGCAGACTCAGCGAGTCTACTACACCAACCGACTACACGAGCCGACTAATGCGGCTCATTTAGTCGACTCGAGTCAAAGTCGTTTTATCGACTAGAAACTAGGCTCGAGTCGCAGCTTAGCCGTTTAACAACACTAGTGAGCTAGCCCATTTTCAAGTCTACAAAGAGTGTCCAGTTATTACCTAAA